TCAAAAAATCACAGCAAATTCCTGTTAAACTGAAATTTTGCACCTTTACTAATTCGCGCCTGTTTTACAAAATCCAAAATGTATTTTTCCTTCAAAATGTATTATTATTTGGAGTATTGTACTCCAAATAAATGCCAAGGCTTAAAGTAGCAACCACGCTACACATGGAAACTGATGATGGTGGAAAACACCGAAACGTATAACGGTGAATGCTCACATCGGTTAGGCTGCATTGGTGAACCAGCTCCGCTAGAACTCGGCCCAAAAGATTGCAGCAGTACTTGGATAAATCACTTGGGGCGATGGTGGTTTGTTTCTGCAAAACTCTCACTATCGGATCGGACACCAGATTGATCAGCCGCTCCAGAACGTCCGTCCAGGTCCAGGACAGGCCGGTGTAGTTGGATTCCATCTGGAAAATCACGTTGGAAGCTTAGCAGTGCCAAAAGCCCAAAGTGCTTGGGGTTACTGACTTGGCTTCTGTAGCTCATCTGCTCGACCAGGATCGGATAACTGTGACTGTCACTAACGCTCATCATCGGATGGCCGGTGTTGTCCGACGGGCTCAGGCCGCGATTGAAGCTGTTGTCTGCACTTTGGCTGGATCCCAGCAGAGGGAACGTGCTTCTGAGTCGGATCGATGGGGAGCTCAGAGCGCATAGCACAGCGCTCAGGAGCATTTGAGTGTTGGAGGAGCTATGCGGGTTGTATGCCTATGGCGAAAAGAATGGAGAAATGTGTGGTGCTTCTGAGCGAAATTTTGAGCAAAATTTGGAGCAAAATTTAGAGCGAAGTCCGAGCTACCTCGTCAGTCTCCGCAAGCAAATCACACAAACAGGTCCACTTCAGGTAAGCAGTGGGGTAAAAGGCATGGAAGCAGCTGACGAAGGTGTTGTGGCACTCATGCAGTATCTGGTTCATCAGGCTCAGATTATACGGTTTGGATTTGCAGGATTTCTTGCTTTGCATCTGCAGGGGGACGTTGTCGGATAAAATTTGCTTCAGCAGCGATCGCACGTCCCCAATACACTTGGCCAGATGGACGTTCTCCAGAGGAGACTTCCTGGTCACTTGCCTGCAACGCTTGCATTTGTCAGAGTTCTACTGGGGATTGGCTGAAGCATCCTACCGGGGGTAAATCTCATTGGTGTAGGTGCACAAGAGTCTCAGACTGGACGTGCTGATGTAGACCAGCCTTTCCAGCTCTAAGTTGGTGTAGAAGTTCTTCACGGCCGAGCCCTCCATGATGCCCCACTTGAAGGTGTTCCAGGACCATTGGAGTAGGGAAAGCAGGCTTTGGAAGCACTCTTTAGTGACGGTTCGCGAAAATTCCTTGGAGAGGATGTGGATCGGTTCCACCACCTCAGTCTGGAAAGGGGAAAACATAGAAGGCCCGCTGAATGGATCAATCTGTTGGATTTATCAATGAGGTGAAGTTTTTCTTCTAAGCTCGGGAGACGGGTGAATATGGTGGTACTGATCTGAATCTAGTGGATGCCGTTTTTGGTGCTGAATCTAGTGTGCAGGATCAGTTCTTTGTGGACATATCGAAATTTCGACCAGTTTCAAAAACTTCCTCGAAAATTCCTGCTGGCGGTGGCCCAATGAAACTTTTCGCATTCATCAAGGAGACTTTTCGCTATCTAATGCGAACTTCTAGAGGAACCCAGCGTGACTGGTACCGGAAATATGAATTTTCAAACATTAGCTGACCAAAACGGGCGATGAAAAATGAGCAGTTTTCATAGCAATTATGTAAAAATACCTAATGGGGTTGGAAAATTTAAACTTTCAGGATTTGTGAAAGCG